ATATATATATATATATATAATTTACCTATAATGAATTGTTTTGCTATCTTTTTATACTTCTAAATGAAAAAAATGCATTAATTGCAAATTTTTGAAAGCAAAAAGGATGACTATTTTGATCTCCATTGGCCAACACAATAAATATAGGATGGTCCAAAAGGACCAATATAACTCTAATATGTGTACACAATAGACTTTATAAGTCAAGTTGCATCATAGTTTGATGTCATCATCAACTATGATTGTGTGGTTACTTGATATTAATAATTGACATCATTGGTACATAGAACTTGTGAAGACAATATATATTTCTTCTCAACCGTCTCAATTAAAGTTATGCATTACATCAAATCATTACATGCATGGAATTTAAAGTGTAAAACACTTCGTCAGATACCCCAATGAGATCCCATTAATAAAAATAATTGTAGGTGCTTTAATGTTGCAGAAGTTCAAGCTCATTATATTTTAGCTCATTAAGATGCTTGATTTGACTATAAACATGTAACATTAACATCATTAAATTTTTAACTGTGCTTCAATGTTTGATATAGACTCATTGGAACTCATATAAGATTACTTTTGATGTTATTATGTTGTTTTGACATTTTGTTTTTTTATCGTAAATTTACTAAAATACAAGTTTGCACGATTTTAAATTTGATTTTTAAAATATATTATTCTAATATGCATTTAGGTTCTTTCTTAAATGGACAATACGACTTTCTTAAATACATCGTAAAAGGTTGGGCGGCGATAAAAGTACAGCAAGTGGCAGGCGGCAACGGTTGACATCTGATTGTAAGAGTGTTGGGGTTGGCAGAGATGATATAATATATTTGGAATTTAACTAGATCGAATAAATTTCAAACACATTAACATTAAATTAAATAATTAATTTTAAACATATTAAATTTTAGACTTCATTTGAAATTTTTAAAACGACCAGAAAGAATAATATGAAGATTTATCTCTATACATACGACTCAATTCTTATGTATTTACACTGCATGAAAATGTTTATTTCACTTTTAAAAAGTTAAAATGATGATATTTTTGGTATGATACGAAAGATTTGGGTGGTGTACATGTAAAAAATAAAGTTTTTTTTTGTCAGATATATAAATACATAATAATTGGGTGGTATGTATATAAATGACCCAAAATAATGATACTCTTTTTGCCCAAAAAATTAAAAGTCCCTAACCATTTTGTAAATCAAATGAAAGTAGTTTCAACAAAAAAGGCTGTGAACTTTGCTCAATGATCGTAAATTGTTCGAAAAATGATTCAAATTTTAGTTAGGATCGAAATAAATGAGCCGAGCTACGAGCAAAAAATTTGGATCTAATTTTTTTCAAGCAGACCACAGCTCGACTCGAAATTGGATTGTTAACATTCTTAGTAATGTCAGGGATGTGCATTTAATAAATTTAGATGGTTGATTGTTAATTGCTCGAAACTTAGTTTGAATTTTACCTCGAATCGGGATCGAATTAAAATAAATAAGCCTAGCAATGAGAAAATATTTGAATCAAATTTTTTTGGTGCCAACTTTGAGCCTACACCAATTAGTCTAAAAATCAAATCTTGAATATCGCTGGTTAACAATAGGGTTTTCAATATAGGTTGATCGGTTCGGTTCAAGTTGACCCGAGAATGACCTGACCCGAATAATAAATGCATCGAACTCTCTCTTTAAGCCGACTCTAAATATTCAGGTCAGCCCAAATACGATTTTTTTTTAGTCGAGTTAGAGTCGTGTTAGCGCGTCAGGTCAATATTTGATATTGAGGGATATTAATTTGAGTTGGCGAGTCGTGTTTGGTTCTAACCCAAAAAAATGACACGACCCCGAATAGAATCAATCTGAACCTAAACTAAATAATAAACATGTCAAATTCTCTGACACAAACTCAAATACGAGCTCTGAGGTCTTGTAAAATTTTGACATCTATAACTTTGTTTTTTATTGTTCCTTTTGAATTTCACCGACGCATTGGTGGCGTTTCTGCAATGTCTTCTGCAATGTCAACTGTTTGCAAAGCTTCTCAGCCGGAGCAATTGCAGCCGCCGCCGCTCTACACATTTGGAGAGCCATGGCCGGAGTTCAACGATGGTCTCTCCTATACTGACACTGTCCGTTCATCCCAAAATGGTCAGCTATCACCCTCCTTCTTTCATCTCTTCTCAATGACGCTGGTTGCTAACCCTAGTTTTTACAGCAACAACGCTAATTGATTTCTACTGCTCCAAGTATAGGAGTTCCGCGCCATTGCAAGGGTAAGTCGGCCTCCTTTATGCCCCTAGGGCTCTGTTTGGTTCTGAAGAATTGAAAGAGAGGAATTGAGTAGGCAAAGGAAATGGTAAAAGTACAGGATTGAAATTAATTTTCACCCACATAATTGATTTATAAATTTATTGATAAGTTTTTTTTTTCGTTTGGTTGACTGATAACCAGTAAATTGAAGAATGAACACAATCTATATACGTTCTTAAGCATTTTGAATTCGAAGCCCTCTTGCAAATTACAATTTTCTTAAATTTTGATACGAATATTTTTAATTTAAAGTTTATAATGAAAAGAAGGTCTCTAATATCTAATAAAATTTGTATAGCATATAACCTTTTATTTATGATAGTCTCCAGTTGCTAATTTGATTTATATATCTCTTCTGAGCAATTAAATCATATAAAGGACTGTTTGATGAAAATGATCAAAAGAATTTTAGAATGTTTACAATCTGAGCTTCTGAGCCGCTTCCAATCCATCCTCTTTGAGACATAACTTGACTGATTAGCCATATTGTCAATGATATCATAGTTTTTGTGCTTTTTGGTCGAATTCCATTGAGGGCGGTTCATCTTTCCTGGAGAAGGTGGAGTATAATTTTCTCATCCCTGTCAATTGGAGAACTCTTTACTTGGCTTACCTTGCTTTTTGAGCTCAAATCATAGAAGCTCAACCTCCATCAAATTTAAGATGACAACTATCGAAGCTTATTGAGAAAATACATAACCGATTGACTACCACCCAACAATCATTATCGTTCGCGATGCTATGAAGTGTCAACCACTGTTCACAACGTTCAAGGAAACACCACTAAGATGGCTCCAACGTTGCATAGAAGCATCACTAGCTTTTTAGAATTTAAACAAATTTTTGTCACATAATTTGCTAACATTCAAAAACCTTTAAAGAATTTTTGGGCTGTCTTGAATACGTTCTCTTGAATATGAGTGATATTATTTTTTATTAAGTTCTTTTGTTTGTCAAAATTGTAAAATTATTTGAAGAATGTCTATAGTAAAATTATTCCTCAATTTTCACTCATTTTGAAACTGATCAAAATATTTTATTTTAATCATTTTGACACAGACACATGTATATATTATCAGGATTTGTCTCAGGATTTTGAACTAACTAAGGCGGAAATAGATGACCGGATAGTGAAATTAAGTTTTGTAGAATTTAATTTCTATCACTAATAATTTAATATCCAAATATTAATTAAAAGATCGACTAAAGAAATATTTTAATTTAGCAAAATAAAAGTTTACCTTTCTGTTTGCTAACCTCTTCATCTGTACACTCTAACTTCTTTAGTATTCATTTTATTTAAAAGCTTAAACCTGAAAAAATTATTAAAGTACTTGTATGGTGATGGCGATGGCGATGGCAGGCGGGTGGTAGCGGGCCACAATACTTTACATAAAGTTGAGTTTTTGGAATTTTCCCAAATGGAACGAAATCCAAATACATTGAAAATGAACTAAGAAATGTATTCTAAATACATGCCATTTGATGCTGCATTTGAAATTCTTTCGACCAAACACCTGAGTTTCTAAAACCCCTGCAAAGAAATGTAGTGCGCTTCTTTGCAGTCAACCAAACAGCCCTAGGAGTTACCAGAGTACTTGTATGATGCTAGAAAAAACTTACAATTTTTTATAGCAAATACTGATAACGACTTGCTTTGTTTTTATTTGTATTACTTAAATATGGCCATTCTTGTAGCATTGAACTTCGACCTTAACCCATAACTAGGGAGTCACAAGATCAGTGTGGCACTTTATGACACATCTGGATTGACTCGGGTCACATTAACTTGTATTTTCTATCAGAGTTCTTGTAAAATTTCATAGCCTCTCTCTCTCATCTCTCTCTATATTAGGCTTATTATGTACTTATTAATAAGATTTGGGCATCATCTAAGAGCAAATTTGGATCCTACATTTTTTTTCTACTTCAGCTTTTCACATGATTTAACTAGAAAATCCTTATAAGAAATGTGCATATGTTCTAATTTCCTCAGTGACATTAAATTTCTTTGAATCACGCTCAAATAAAACAGTGAAAATCTAATTATGAGTTAATAATATTTCTTTTCCCTTTAATTTCTCCAAATGAAACACAACCTATAGTATTGTGCCCAACTTTCTCAGTATACCTGGCTAACTGTTCAGTTTGCTTTTGGAACAGCTGGCTTCAGAGAATCAGAAATGGGCAGGTGAGTTATCTTTTTTTTTGAGTTTTTTTTTGGAAAACATGCACACATACCACACAATTCTCAGGTAATTATATATCTAATACCTAACCTTTCATATTTACATTTAGAATACTTTGGTGCCATAAACTTATGTATGAAAATGTACATTTCACTTTTAAAAAGTAACAGTGGTATTTTTGATTTGATGTTAAAGATTTAAGTTCTATTCAACTAGATATGAAATTTTTGGTTTTAGATATGTTAATACATAGGAATTGTGTGGTATGTTTGTAAATGCACCTTTTTTTCTTGGCGGATGACCTGTCAACTCTAACTATTTGATTCTGAGCAGATCACCATCGATGGTATAGTGGTAACCGATCCCGAAGCAGTTCTAAGGTTCTGTAAAATGTTTCTCTTGTTATAATTATTGTTCTAAGAATTGTGTGTTATACTGTCTGTGGAAGAGAAGACATGCATGACATATTCCCTCTTCTCTCACTCTCACACCCACACTTTTCAAATTTATAATTCCTTGTATTTTATCTGCCTTTTTTGTTTCAAAAACTTTGATACACTACTTTCTTAAATCTCAGTTCAAGAATTTTCAGATATTTCATTTTTAATTCTGATTTTAGAAGTTTGTTTTAATGGTCATTATTACATGCTGAATCTGTTCAGTATTGGCTCAAAAATTATATATCATCGGATGCCTTGGGAGGAAGCTGGTACTCCGTTCATGCTGCAAGTTCTCTATGAAGATGATGACATTGTAGGCATTCTTATTAAGTGGCTATTATTTTTTTGGGGCATCTACATACATAGAACACAATTCATATGTTTTGCATATCTCACACCTATACTTTCATATTTACACACACAACACTCAAATCTTTAATATCACATTAAAAATAGCTTTATTTACACTTTTTAAAAGTAAAATACATCTTTTCATGCATATGTTTTAAGCACCAAAGTGCTATGTATCTAAATATGAAAGTTTAGGTGTGAGATATTTAAATACATAGGAATTGTAAGCTAGGTATGTTAAGTTCCCTATTTTTTAGTGTGTTTACTCTTTTAATTTCTATAAATCTTTGTTGAAGCCATGCTACTGTTATCATATCTTATGTTTCACTGCTTTGGGATTCTATATGCTTGTTTTACTACGACAATTTTATATATACTTCAATAATGGAGGGGAATTAGAGCAAGGTGAGTAGAAAAAAAAAAAAAAACAGAAGAAAAATGTTGGCTATTAGAGTTAGATAATACTTTTTTTTGTGTGCGTCAACTAACTAACGTTAATAAATCCTGGAATCTATACTACTTTAAAAAGTGTTTTGAAGCTATTTTTGTGACGTCACAGCCGTGCAATTATTTTTCCATTCATATTTAAGCCCGTTCAGTTTAGTTTTTAATTTAAGCCACATTTATGCCATCAAATGGATGGCTAAAATATTCTAAATATAATTATGGGGTTGCCATTGTCGTAGATGTATTGCCTGGAACAATTCATTGCTGGCACCAGGGACATGTGCTTAATATCTCCAAACCATCCATTTTAGGCTCCAAGCGATCTCCAAATCATCCATTTTAGGCTCCAAGCGATGTCATTTCTCTCTTGGCTACATGTCTCACATTCTTTTCTTGCATTTTCTTAAACTCAAACTTGAACAAATCTATATACATTAAATGAAAAATTAAATGGATTTAACGGTTGAAAGAAATAAAATATAATTTAAATGAAAGATAAATTATTAAATCTATTAGGACTCACCCCTATGGTATTAGTAGGGGACACTATTGTTCTCGTGTATGTTAAAGGTAAAGGAAATGGTAAATGCTATATCTTTTTGACATAAAATAGTAAATCTTGTATCTTTATGATACAAAATGGTAAATATTATACTTTTTGTTAATATATTTTGACGCTGTTCTTGAGGCGACTCTTAAAAGAAAATAATAATTGAAAAATATAGTTGATTAGATAAATATTTTATAAAATAAAAAAGTATAATTTATTTTATAGATTGATCATCATATTCCTTTGAGTCATCATGTTAGGCATTTGCATAAAAAAGTGCTAATTATTAACTAAGTTTTTTTTAAATTTAACATGCTTAACTGTTCTTTTACGGTAAAGTCTGCTAAACAGATTTAACTGATAGTAGTGAGTTTGTTTATAGGAAAAAGACTATTGATGATAGGTGGTTTACTATTTATTATATATCTGATCACTTTCTATTGTACTATTTATTTTGTTGTATCACTGGATGATGTTATGTGTTTTGTTAGAAGTTATTTATGTATTATGGATTAATATCTCTTTTATATTTAAATGTTATTGTAGACTCATATTGTTGTTTAAAAATATTTATTTTTACCGTCTAACTGTTTATTTCCGTCTTGGTTTACTCCAAGTAACTAGGCCATGTTGTGATAAAAGTGGTTTCAAAAGTGTTATGGAAAATACTAAATATTAGGTTGCATGCATATTAGGAAACTTGCATATTATATAATCTAATTAGATGAGATTTAACTTCAGATCCATTCTATATTAGGTATATTCCTAATCTATAGAGAGAGAAGTGTTTATAAATATGTAACATATGATTGCAATTGGATAATAAGAAAGAAATTTTTCCGCTTACATGGTACCAGAGCCTCGCCTAATCCTTCTCTGCATTTTTCATCTTCGATGTTAGCCTTTTGTTTTTTTCCTCTCGGACTCCTTTCGGCCTCCTCGATAGCTCTGTATGCTTCCTGCAACGACACCTTCTTCTCGCGACAGACTCGATCTCCTTCGACTTGCGTGCGTTCCGACTTCGTCGAATCTTTTTCTACTTCGAAGAACACCATCTGTATTATCCGTTGAACCACTTCAAACATGTCTGCGTTTGCTTCATCTGCGACGTCCGTGCCTGCTTCGTGCATGAAGGTGTATTCGGCTTCATTTGCATCATCCCGCGCTTCGTCTTTGTCTTTTGTCGTCACCCAATGCCCATTTGCATTACACTGCGTTGAGGGGATTAGGGCATCAACGAAACCCTAATGTGCTTCGAGCCAATCTGTCTACTTTGATCTGAGTCGTCTGCATAGATTGGTTTGGTTGGCTGTTATTTGCAGCTGTTTTGCTCGGTTTCTTTTGCTCAACCGATTCAGTTTTTTTTTTCATATCTACATTTCCTGTGGTCTGAGTTATTTATCTCCTAGTGCTTTGACCACTACTTCGGCTCGTCCTTTAGCACTAAATGACATCATTTATGATTAATGAACAAAAACATCTAGAGACATGTTTGGTTTCATTAGTAGTAAGATTACAAATAAAAAGTTAAATAACATCAATTATTTTTACTGGAATAAAATGATGAGACTATACATAAAAAATATCTCTCAAGAGAGTTGCCTCATTGAGAATCCCCTAGTCGAGACATATGTGAGTTATTTCGAGTAGATAAGGGTTGATGCCCAATTTTGATACATACATGGAACTCCATCTAACCAGATCAATCTGATCATTCACTCATTGTGATTATGTTAAAGATGCGATGGAAGAAGTAGCATTTGTGTTTTTTGGGAGAAAATATTTCTCAAATTTTTGATGTGCTGAGAGTTTCATCGAGCTAAACAATATGATCAATCACTGAACGCTTATCACATGCACTTTAAACGTATTTATGAAGAATTGAATGCTTGATTGCCCTTTAGTACTTGTGTCCGGATTTTACAGACTAAAAGAGAACAAATGACTAATATGAGTTTTCTAGTTAGCCTTAACTTTCAGTATGAATACATCAAATCACATATCTTATCTGATCCTGGATATACAATGCTGAGAGAAGCTTATACCAGAGTACGCGTATGATTTTAAGTTCTCAGGCCTCATTCGGATAACAACATAGTCCTCTTGCTAGTCAGAAAAAAGCTTATATCAGTCAATCTCAATCTTATGATAATTACAATAGTGGAATTCCAGATTCTGGAAATCAAGGGTCGATGGATGTCTGCTATTGCTGTCATGAATCTGGTTATACAAAGAGGACGCATCAGAAGTTGCTGAAAAAGCACCTAAAGGGTCCTAAATCTCAATCTGCTATCTCTATTAATGCCTTTGTTGAGCAAGTAACAATGATACTTGCCTTTTTTTTTTCCATACAATGTGTTATTGATTATTGTGCTACAAATTATATGACAGATAATCCAAAACCTTTTCTACTTTTCATAAGCACATTCTTTTGTTACTTTAGCAGTTGGATCTACTTCTAATACTTCTAAACAGTCAAATGGCCCTCTAGGGTGATACCGACAGGGGTTAACACCGGTTGGACAGCAGGTGGGATGATCGGTTAGGGTATGCGGCAACAGTGGAGGGAGTTAAATGGGTATCGACAGCAGCTGGGTATGGTGGAGGGCCGCACTGCTTGTTGGAGGGGTTGGGTGGGTGGCTGTAGCGTTTAGAAGATGTGGAGAAGGGTGCAGGAAGGTCTGGGAGGGATTATGACATGGTCTAGTAGGGATCTGAGGGGGCTTACGGCAAAAGTGGAAGGTCTGGAGGGATATGACATGGTCTAGGAGGGGTCCAGAGGGGTTGCGGCATGGTCTGGGAGGTTGGAAGGGTGCTGGAGGGTTGCCGGCTGAAACAGTCTCCAAGGAGCACCATTTCATTCCCAGTTTAAAGAGTTTGGGGATTAGTTTGATATTTTTTATACATTGAGACTAAAATGCCTCATGTAAACAGTTAAGAGGGTTATATGTACGCTTTACTCGTTTTTTATTTATTTGGTCAGGTTGCTATAAATAAACCATCTGGTTTGCAAGTTTTACCTGGAGGGCTTTTCCAGCAGCGTACCGTTTTAACACAGCTTCAATGGAAGTCATCAAAGCAAGGTTTAATTTGTTCTACTAGTCAGGATGTTCAACGACCATATCCTGTACCTGTTCATCGTTTGGGAAGAGGAACATCAGGTATAGTTTGCTAAGTTTCAGCTATCCATCTCCTTATGACTTTTTTCATGTCCTAAAGCTTGTGGTCTCTACGATTCTGCATTATGCTGACTATAAAGTTCATACTCTTTCATAATTTGTGATAAATATCCCTAGTTTTATAAAAAATTTCTTGCTTTTCAACTTCATGCCAATTATCTTCTCCGTATGGCATACTTCCTTGTGATTGTTTTATATTTTCTGATATATTCTCATTGTTTATGTTTTTTGAAGAGTAAACTGTCAAAATAGTCCCCTGCCTATTTACATTAGGTTCATGTTAATGCCAGAATCTATAAAAAGCATCAAATTAATGCCTAGACTCTTTTAATATGGGTTGAAATAGTTTTCATGGATGATTATTTTAGCCCCATTAAAAGAGTTTGTTGACAATGTTTGCACTTTGATGTACTCTGGGGCTAAAATGGACCCCTACAAAGAGTCAAAGGTCAATTTTAACAATTTTCTCATTTTTTTAGAACCTCCTTGAACCGGTCTTTTTTTCACCTCTTTCCAGATCTTTGAAACTAGCCTTTTTTTCTTTATTATTGGTACATTTGGCTAAATTTCCATAAGCTTGCTTCTTCCAAACATTACCATCAGCTGCCAATTCTTTCGTAACTATTTTCCCGGAGTTTCAATGTGCTATTTTCCAATTTTCAAGTGTAAGCATTATTTGACGAAATACATACAATATCATTGTGTTTAATTCTTTTTGAATTCAGTCCTTTTTTCTTCCCTTTTGTCTTTCTTTGTTTTCTGTATAAAACAATACTTTGATATGTTGTACAGAGACAGCTTTAAACAAGCCTAAATATTTGTGTATGCTAGGTGTACTAAGCAGAATTCTTTTATATTTGACGTGATATTTACTATGAGAATTTGTTTACGAGCAAAAAGCCCAAAATAATTCTTTGGTTATCAACAAGCGACCAATTTAGTGCCAAAGTTTTAAAGTGCTCCATTTTAATTCCATACTAATAAAACTTGATCCAAATTAGTTCATACGTTTAATTTTGCGTTGATAGTTAAGGCCAACTGTTACTTTGAGGATATTTAGAAATAAGAATTTTTAGCTAAATTTATTTTTTTTATTACTCTATGTTCATATGCCATGAAGTATTTCTCTATTATTTAATAAAGTGTTTTATTTTTAATCTATTTATTTAAGTAATAATTTTTTTTTAACTTTGGGACTATATTGATTCTAACGATAAGGTACTCAAATTTTTTAAATGAGATGACTATTTAATCATTTACTTCATTAAATAAATATTTAATCTTATTCATAAATTTAAATAATTTATTACATATGAAAATAGAGTAATAATAAAAGTAAAAGTTGATTTAAAATTCTTATTCCTAAAATATCCTCAAAGTTAACAGTTTGAAATTAAACCTAGGGTCTAGGACTCAGGGTCCGCTTGGGAAGCTGCAGTTTTTAAAAAACTGCTGCGCAGAAGCTATTACGGGGAAGCTGTGTATTTGTTTGTTTTGTGCAGTTATCTAGTAGCTGTTTATGATAAAAAATTTCTGCCCTTGTATTGCTATACTTTTGATAACAAAGTTAGCCCAAGTTGAACAACTCATACGTGAAAATTTCATAGAAATTATATTCAAGATTCCCAAAAACTCTTAAGTTTAAATATTACACGTAGAATTGACATCTCACTTCTGAGTAATACAACATCAACAACAAAGCATTAATCCCACTACGTGGGATCGGCTACATGAATCTTTTTTCTCCATTGCATCCTGTTTAGTGTCATATTTTCATTTAGTACTAGTAAATTAAGATAATTTTTTATACAATATGCCCAAGTCTTCCTAGGTCAACCTTTGCCTTCCTAAACACAAGTCAAATTTAAAACATCTCCTCTCCTAATCGGATCATTAGATGGTCGACGTTTAATGTGACCAAACCATCTAAGACGACTTTCTCTAATTTTGTCCGTCACAGGAGCTACACCAACCCTATCACGGATATATTCATTTCGCATTTTGTCTCTAAGTGTAAAGCCACTCATCCACCTAATCATTCTCATCTCGGCAACACTTAACTTATTATTATGCTTCTCTTTTAAAGGCCAACATTCAACGCCATAGAGCATTGCAAGTCTCACCACCGTCTTATAAAATTTTCCTTTTAGTTTAAGCGGTACTTTTCTATCACACAAAAGGCCCGAAGCATTCCTCCACTTCAACCAACCAACTTGAATTCTACTATTAACATCCCCATCTGTATCACCATCGCTTTGAACAACGGACCCAAGGTATCTAAATTGTTCACACCTTTTAATAATGTGATCACCCAAAATCACACTTTTGTCACTAGAGATACTACTACTAAAATTACATTTCATGTATTAAGTTTTAGTTCTACTTAAATGAAGGCCTTTAGACTCCAATGTAGACCTCCATAATTCAAGTTTTTTCCTGGGCTTTTCTCTCGTTTTATCCACGAAAAGGATATCATCAGCAAAAAGCATACACCAAGGTACATCCTCCTGTAGATGTTCAGTAAGACCATCCATAACTCAAGCAAAAAGATATGGGCGTAAAGCCGATCCTTGATGTAATCCAATAGAAATAGGAAAATATTTAGTCAATCCTTCAGTTTGAACACAAGTAACAACTCTAGTATACATATATTTAATGACTTGAATATATGTCATATCAACACCTTTCTTCTCAAGAACTCTCCAAAGGATATCTCTTGGAACCTTATCTTAAGCTTTTTTTAAATCAATAAAAATCAAATGTAGATTCTCCTTATTATCTCTGAACTTTTCCATCAAACCTCTCAATAAATGTATAGCTTCCAACATGCCCGACATAAATCCAAATTGATTATGAGAAATCTTTGTCATGCATCTTAACCTATGTTCAATTACCCTCTCTCATAACTTTAAAGTATTACACATCAACTTAATTCCTATATAATTTGCACACTCTCGTGCATCTCATTTATTCTTAAAAATGGGGACCAAAATAATCTTCCTCCACTCAGACATCTTTTTAGTTTTTAAAATAATATTAGAGTTTAGTAAGCCAAGAAACTCCCAAATCTCCTAAATATTTCCACACTTCAATTGAGATATCATTAGGTCCTACAGACTTTCCACGATTGGTTTTCTTTAAAGCCTCCTCAACTTCTTTTTTACTAATGCGACGGTAAAAATGAAACGTTTTGTTATTATTTATGATATTAAGATCACTAAGGTCGATCGTATATTCAGAAATTTCATTAAAAAAATTATCAAAGTAACTCACCCACCTATGTTAAATTTCTTTTTCTAAGAAAAATACTTTTTGATTTTCATCTTTAATACACTTTACTCGAGTTAAATCTTTAATTTTCTTTCTCTTTGTTTGACTAGTTTATACATATATTTTTCACTCTCTTTAGTATCTAATATATTATAAAAATCATTCAAAACAACATTTTTGGCGTCATAGATTGTTCTTTTAGACTCCCTACGGGTCGTTTGATATTTTTCTCAGTTCTCTAAGCTTTTACATTTAAACCAATTTATATAACATAACTTCTTATATTTATCTTTTCTTGCACATTATTATTCCACCACTAACTGTTTTTATTAATAAAATTTTTTTCTTTAGATTTTCCAAGCACATCTTTTGCTACTTGTTTAATAATATTTGTTACTTTATCCCACATAACATTTGTTTCATCATGAACATCCCAAATTTTGAAACATTAAGTTTTACTCATAAAAATAATTTTATTTGTGTCTTTTAAGTTCATCCATCTAATTCTACGATGATGAGTCATAGTATTCTTTATTTTACAACTCTTTATCTTAAATCTATAACTAATAAACGATATTGGGTACTTAAATTCTCACTTGGAATGACCTTACAATCTTTATAATCTCGACGATATCTTTTTCTCATAAGAAAAAAAATTAATTTGTATTTTATTAGATCCACTATTATAAGTAATAAGATGCTCATCTCTTTTTTTGAATAAAGTATTAGTAATAACAAAATCATACGCCAAAACAAAAATTCTAAAATAACTCTACCTTCATTAGTTATTCCAAAACTGTAGCCACCATGAGTATTTCTGAAGTCTTCTACCACTCTACCGACATGTCCATTTACCATTTAAATAATAAAAATTCTTTCTTCAAGAGATATCATTTGTATTAAGTCTTCTAAGTCATTCCAAAATTTATCTTTAGACTCTGTATCTAAACCTACTTGAGGAGCATCCTTGAGGAGCATAAAAACCTCCTTGAGGAGCATAAACACTTATAAAAAATAAAATAAAATTTAAACTGTTAAAACAACAATTAATATTATCATGATATTAAATTTGAATTGCAGACGATCAATTTCACGAGATAACTTCTTTTCTAAAGAACCTCTTCGTGCCTGATCACTATCTGAGGTGAAATCGTCGAACTGATCCGACGCCCCCCTCCCTCCCCCCCGAAAAAATCACAGTCCCCCTGCTGATAAATTTCTTGGATACCTGTAAAATTTTCTCCATATCTATGCTGATTTTGTGAGGTATGTATAGAACATTGCAAGCCGCACTAACGTTACAAGACTAGAGTACCAGAAGACCTTATGCTCATATTTTTTGAAGGTTTAAAATCACAAATCATAAACAGTTAGATGAAATAATATAAATACATAATTAAGGATTTATAAAATTGTGACGTCTCAGAGCAAAAGGATAAACCGACGAATAATCTTTCACTAGAAGACAAAAGACATTAAAGAAATGGGACCTTAGTTGCCTTTAGCTAATGGAATATAGCATGGAATAAATGATGCTATTTTAAAAAAATGATCAGTGACTATAATGATGGAGTTCATGTGCTACATAGTGCAAGGCAATCTTACTAAAAAGTACATCAAGGCAATCTTAGTAAAAAGTATATGCTATGATCTTCTCATGGTTTATGAGGTCAAAAAGGAATATATCATTCACTATGACTATTTTCTTATGAAGATTAAACCAACAAAACATGCCTTTGAAAATGCATTTTCTAATATGAAAACCTTGAAGTCAAGAATATGAAGTATTGATTTATATTTCTTAAAAGAGATGGCCATCTTATATATGATAGAAATAGGTGCCTAAAAAAATTAGGACTTAAAAATTTGATGAAAATACTTTCAGTTGGTGTAAGCACTTTAACCCTATTAAATTTAGAGACTATTACGTTCATGTTCTATATTAGTGCATCTATATTACTTATGATTTCAATAAATTATTCCTAACATTAAAATTGTGCATAAAAATAGTGGAAGCTATGGTGGAAGCCTTGGCAAGGAACCATAGCACAACAATGGAAGCTATAGAGGTGAGATCGAAAGCCGGAGCTTATTGCATAATCCTCATTCATTTCAACAAGAAATATCCCAAAATCCCTCAAAATAATTTTTGATGTTGCACACATGCACGATACGAACTTCACAGGAATTTCGAAGGCCATCACAGAAATAATCGAAGGTCATTAGAGAAAAAGTTTCTCCAACTTTACCAAATTTCTCCATTACAAAAAAACCACAAAAAACAAATCTCGGTGAGACAGAAACCACATAAAAAGTTGAAGACCATCATAGAAAAATCGAAGGTCATTATAGAAAAAATTGAAGACCCTCACAAAAACTACATTTCTTCATTTTTCTCCAAAAAAAAATACTCCAAATTTCTCCATCATAGAAAAACCGCAAACAACAAAGCTCATTGAGAAAAAAGCCATAAACCATACAGAACAAAAACTTTAAAGTTAAATGATAGAGGGTACTAGAGGACGAAGAAAATCAAAGGTAGAAAAACCACTAGGCTCGACCGCTTATCACTCGAGTGAAACTGCATATATGAATAATATGGGCAACAAAGGAATTTCCTTTGAATGAAACCGCAAAACCTGGGTCTGAGACGACGGCTGCAAATGAGGTGTTCGTTTGATAAAACACACCCCCGCTGCGGAAAACAATCGCCTTCGGCAGCGTTTTCGTGCCATGCAGCAGCTAATCAACTGCCCCAAACGGACCCTTAAATGGAGCAATTAAAATTTCTAGGCTAAATTGGTCACTTCTTGATAGTCAAGAGACTATTTTAGATTTTTTCTCTTTTGCTTATAGTTGATAAACTTGTGCACTTAGATTAATGATTTTTTTGGTACCCAGTTGCTATACTGCATGCAGCCTTATCATTTTTTATTATTAATTAAGTCTCATATTGCTTGAACAGATTTTGTTTCTTTTCCCAAATAAAATTCATTCTTTTCTTTTTTTGAGGGCATTTACCTACATAGCACACAATTCTTATCTATTACATGTCTCACACCTAAACTTTTACATTTACACGCATTGCACTCAAGTTTTAATATCACATAAAAATAACACTTATTACTTTTAAAAGTAAAATACACCTTTTCATGCATAGGTTTAAAACATCAAAGTGCTATGTATATAAACATGAATGTTTAGGTTTGGATATGTAAATACATAATAATTGTTTGCTACGTATGTAAATTTCCTTTTCTTTTTTCCTTCTTGCTATGTGTTTGTGCTAACCTAAACGGGCAACTTGCTCATTTAAATCAGGTATATTACTTTGCGCCAAAACAAAGCTTGCAAAAACTAAACTTGCAGAATACTTTGCTGTTGGCACGTTAGCTGTTGGAGAGAATAGGTAAGTTGAGTGTTCTGTTCCACTTGTTTAATGTTTACAGCCTTTAGAGTTAAAATTTTTTTGCTCTACTTGATTTGATCCAGAATTTTTATCTTTACAGTTAGAACATTAAAGTATAGTGAAATTTAAAACCTACCACACGTCCTTATGGATTTACATATCCACATCTAAAATTTGATATTTACATTTACAACACCTTGGTTTTATTAAAACATACATGACACAGGCGCTACCGGCCCCCTAAATTAGGCGCTAAAACAATGCCCTCGAGGCACTAAAATACGCCCCAAATCGGAGCGCTTTGACGCTGCAGGATCGAAGTCCCACAAGACTTTGCAGGAGCGGGAACCTACGAGAATTCACGAAAGCAGGAGAATCCGCGCGAGAGCAGGGAGCCTGAGAACCTTCGCAGGGGAGCGGGATCACGAACATGCATGATCCTGATGGGCACCAACAGTGGAATTTGGATATTCTAGATTTTTTCAGGCTTCCCACTGTCTTCCATTGTGTAGAAGCTTCCTTTAGGAATCTATAAATTGCTGTTTTTGGGTATGAGGGGGTTAGATTGGAGTTGTGTTTGAGTTTAGCTTTAGATCTCCTTTATTGAGTTTCTTTCTCCTTTGTGGGCTGCATCCGAGGAAGTGGTGGTGCTCCGACTGTATCCCCTCCGCGGTGGTGATTGTATAGTCCCCTTTTATCCTTCCCAACCTATCTCTTTTACTCCCCTTAGCCGCCGACCATTTCAAGCTTCTCCTAACCACCACACAATCGCTGCCGACCGCCCACCCCTCTTGCTATCCCTTCAGCTCCACACCTTCCCTTCGCTATCACCTGCCTCCTGTGGCTGTTGTCACCTCTTGCAATCATTCCCATCCCTCTAGCCGACCTCCATCACCCATTATGATACATTTAGGAGTGTTGTTTGTGTCGTTTTATCTTGTGACTTGTTATTTCCGTTCGAATCATAATGTAATTTTATTTTGATGTTAATGAAAGTTGTTTTTGGTGCTTCTAATGTTACCCTTACTAGTTCCGGTATCAAGACATTTAGCTTTTAAAAAAATTAATAAAAGTGTTATTTTTGATGTGATGTTAAAGATTTCTGTGCTATGAATGTAAATATTAAAATTTAGTTGTTAGATATGCAATACATACAAATTGTGTGGTATGTATGTAAATACCCCTTTAGTTTAACTTGCACTTGAAAATATTGAAACCGTCAACAAGCTTGTAGCAAATATCACGGTTGGATGGATAATTTAAGGGTTTTACCTTATTTATATGCTGTATCACTTATGAGAATATTTTTTTTATGGGGAACAAGTACCCAACTTTCTAATTGATAATATAAAGGAAATGCATAATTGAGACCACCGTAAACATAACGAATTTAATTTCCTGCTCTTATGAAGTTCTAGGAATGATGGTTATGTCCAATCCAAGAAGTTGCTTCTGATGATAGATTAAAAAAACTCAGGGGACCTTTTACTGTTAAAATATATTATTAAAAGTGAGTACAAATTGGAATCAACCAAATATTCTGTGAGTTTAAGAACTATAAGAATATTCTTTAAAAGCCTGTATTTTGGGAACCTATCTTTTTAACTCGTTAAAATTATATGCTAGAGGATTTTTGCAAGATAAGGTTCTGCAATTATGTTTACTGTTTACTTTTGCCTTATTGCAAGATTAGTATATCCGATTAAATAATTCAAAGTTCATATCATAATAGTTGACTTCTTTTTGTTTACATTTATTTAATAGGCGCAGATTAAAAACAAAAAACCAACATGAAAGAAAGCATATAAGTTTAAAAATAGTGGAGGCATTTATTTACTCATTAAAAAAGCATAATCGGCCTTCTAAAAGGTTTACATCCATTGGTTCATCAAATATTAAATTATTAGTATTAATGAGCTAAAATAAAATATTTTGGATTGTTTTTTCTTAGTAAGGTACGAGATGATTAGTTAACCAAGCACCTTTTTTTCATCAACAAAACTGGAAGTGCACATTAATGAAATTGAAAGAGTGCTCATTAAATTTTATTAATATACCTATTTGCAGTTAAAATGAGAAAAAATATTGTGATCATGGGCTTACTCGTGCTTTATTTCCAAGTGCTTTTTGAAATTCATGTTGGTTATCTTTAAATGTGAAATTCTTTTTTTTAGTTTTAACATTAATCTTTTAGTGATAAATAAGGAACCAAAAGTGCTCTTATGGGAGTTAATATTGTGTAGAGTTCAAGTAAATTTGGACCAATTTAATTTAACTCAAACTTGATTAAAAATCAAAATTCACTCGAGTCATGCTAGCTTGACCAAAAATCAAATGATTTGGAGTTGACTCAAAATTATTTGTTTATTTATATAAAAAACCCTTGGATATACAAAAAATAATGTATTATTTAAATGTTTTACATTCTATAAACTAGATGGCATATCATATGTAAGCACAATTGAATTACGTTTTGTGTTAACTCGAACTATATTGGAGCAATTTAGGTTAAACATGGAAATTTACTATACAATAAGTTTGGTTTATTATTCAAGTTCAAAATATATGCGAAATTTGTTGAAGTAAATTAGAGTCAAGCTAAAATTTTGAGAAATTTTAAGTTGTGATTATTTTTAAGGGATCTTTTTTTGTTGAAAAAATGAAATAGACATTACGAAATTTTTTTCCAATAAGGTGTGGGATCAATGGAAATTTAATATTTAACGATTTCTTTCTGCTGTCATTATGCGCTTGAGATGTTATAGAGAAAGAGGTGAAATGTAATAAAATCTAATTACATTGAACACTTATATCACCAAAATATTGAAGTAGATATTACTTAAATTTGTGTCAGACTGAATTTAAATTTTTGATTTCAAGTTGAGGCAGGCTTGCCTGAACTCTACTTATATCACCCCTAAATATTGATGATGAGGCGCACATTTATTGAAGTAAATTGACTTTTAGTTGAGGTTGGCTTGACTGAAGTCTACTTATATGACCTCTAAAAGATGCTAATAAGGAACACATTTATCAATTAAAATATTATTGTTGCGGACCTAGGATTAATTACCGGTGGCGATGAAATACTGCCTATATTCATTTGGGTCCACATAGCCAGACATTTAACACCACTGTGCCCATTTTAATACCTTGTACACATATTTTCTTATTAAAATTACCTATTTTAGTGATTAAATATCAGCAGCGTGCATCAATATACTTCAAAATTTTATTTTGTTCATTGTTGTAACCATCTTATTAGTGCATCATCAATTTTCGTTTATGCATACCTGACAACTTAGGTCTGTTTTATAAAAGCTTGTTTTTGAAAGTTGCCATACAAAACATTTTAAAACTATCATTTCACATTCTTGCTTAGCTTTATCACTTGCTTTTGATTATTTGAATATGTTGAAATTCTTGCATTTCTGTTGGATTACCAATATGCTAAATAGATCTGAACGTCAATTTTTTAATTGCAATTACTAAAGTTGACTATGGTGTTATGTATTAATTACCATTATTTATTTCTATGTTCCATGTCTTTTAAGGCAAGATACTGTAAACTAAAATAGATGATGAAGGTTGTGTCCATAGCTCAGTTTAGGTTTACCAAGTCTTGTAGTACAATTGTATTTACAATTAAAAAAAAGCAATTTTCATCTGCCATTTTGTTGATCCGTACTTGCTGTATCAGAATGCTGGGAAAAAATTATGGCGAAGCTCGGAAAATTTTAAAGTGTTATCGAGCACTAGTTAGAGGGATTCTTGAACATGATGAGGTATGTTGTCGGTAGAATAAAACTTCACTGGAAGATTTAGATACGGAACACTTAATTCTTATGTATTTACAGATCTAACGCCTAAGCTTTAATTTTTACATATATATATATGCCACCTTGCCTATGCATGAAAAGATGTATTTCACTTTTTAAAAGTTAAAATAATAGTATTTTGATGCGATAAGAAAGATTTGAGTGGTATAAATGTAAAAAGTTAAGTTTAGGTGTCAGATATGTAAATACATAGGAATTGGGTGGAATGTATGTAAATGCCCACTCCATTTTTGGAATATTTACACACATACCAATCAATTCTATGTATTTTCCTATCTAACACCTAAACTTCAATTTTTACATATATGTCACCTTATCTATGCATGAAAATATGTATTTTAACTTTTTAAATGTTAAAATATTGATATTTTTTATGTGATATGAAAGATTTGGGCGGTACAAATGTAAAAAGCAAAATTTAGATGCTAGATATAGAAATACAAAGATATCAGGTGTTATGTACGCATGTGTTCACAAACTAATTTTGTGTTTTATTTTGGAATTTATCCAGGGTTTGTTTTCCTGTTGCTTTTGACATGGCTAAAACTCATGTGATTATTTTTTATTTGCATCTTCGTCCGCCAGTAATAAACAATAGTTTATCCATGTATTTGTCTTGGGGCTTTTTCTTCGGCCAACTAAGAAAATTATAATCAATGTTCCAGTTCACACAGCTTGCCGTATGCATCACCAAGGTTTAGACAATGCACTCTTAATTCTTTAAAGAGATAGTATATTTTGATGTCTCTTGGCAAGCCCTCTTTTCCAAACAGTTGGTACAATCATTCCACTACATAAAATGTGGGCGATGCTTAGCTCTGTTTAGATGAATGAAGACTCTAATTTTATCTTTTAAACTCTCAGTAGTGTTTCTGCCTCCACAAATCCATTGAATGAATGCTTGAGCTTCCTTCAATTCAGAAACCGGGTGATATGAGTTAACCAAATCACAATAGAGTTGCAAATATTATTGTTGAAATTCGAAAAGGTTACAACAAAGATTCTTCAAAATAGAAAATAAACAACAACAAAAACGAATAACATCCTTGAGTGAGGATGCAAGTCGTGGGTGACGGCTGGATGCAGGAGGGTGCAGGTTGGAGGTTGCGGGTCAGCCATGAGGTGGGAAAAGGGGCTGGGACAGCAGCTCGAAGATGGGGAGAGGGCGAAGGCTGGAACAAAAAGGTTGAAGAGGGTCTGACGGTTGTTGGTTGGGGTCGTGGGATGGATTCCAGGCAGCAAATAGGGGCGTGGGATGGATTCCAGGCAGCAGGTTCGGCGTGGGATGGGAACTACGGCGCAATAGTAAGGTGGACAAGGGGGGTGCACTCGTTGGTGGACAACAAATAGTTAAGGGGAATAGGTAAAGGATAACTATCCACGCGAGAGCGAGTTACAACCGTAGCACTCCTTGAACCCTTAGAGAAGATCATCACATTAGACCAGTTACAATCGGAGCACATTTCACCTTCGGATACAGCCCTAGAGGGAAAAAGCCAGCGGCGACAAACTGGACAAAATTCTAAAACACAAAACTGAACCTTAAAACCAAATAACAACATATGTATAATAAACTAAAGATCACTAGGGGGGAGGCTGCAAACCTCCAACCCAAATTAGGGCCGGCCGGTTCAACCTCCCTACTTAACCAACAACCCCTTGCTAAACCCAAAGCATGGTTCAACCCTAGCCGTCTCACGCCAGTCTCCCGGGGTTAGGGGGGAGCTTTGAATTCATTCATTGAGGCTTCTGGTTCTTCACCTGCAATCCTAGATTGAGAGGCAAAGCTGTGGTACTATTCTTGGGAGCGATGTGAGCGCATGTTATTGTGGTTTTGTTTTTGGAAGCATGAGTTGGAAGGAGGACCGAGCCTTTATGCGTGAATAGGAAGAAGAATGAGAAGGAGAGGAAGGATTTAGGTGAAGGTGCAATCGTGTGAAGCTGAAGAAATTTCCCGGGCGGTCAAGCCGAGTAGGTTTGTGCTAGCCGTGCCCTAAGCAAACAAAGAAAGGAGGAAGTTCGTGAATGAGGGATTGAAGTTTAATCCGTGAGTAGAGTTCATAGTTTAATTATATAAATTATTTCATCAAATTAATTAAATATTATTAATTTATATTAAATTCTATAAAATAATATTAGTGATTATAAATTTTCAAGTAGTTGAATTGAGATTAAGGGAGATCGAGATCATTGTTAATGCAAAAGAAGATGAGATAAGGAGGTGAAGCTTGAGTTTACTTTTATTAAATTTATTAAAAAAAATATTTTATTAATATTTAATTATGATGAAAATATAGATCATGAATTATAGGCAAAACAAGTTAAAGAATTTTGAAGGGGTTATTTTATAAGGTGAAATCAATGTGAATACCACTATTAAGTTATATTAGTCTATTTGTATTTCTTCTAGATTAGTCGTATTAATTGTTATTGATGAATTGGTTAATGCATTTATGATTTCTCTATTCTTAAATTTTATCGATCATTTTGATATGAATGCTTATAGTATCTCATTATGAAAAGTTTTAGTCATTGTAGTATTAAATATTACATATTGAATAACATGAAAATGTGAATGTTATGGACTATATAGAATGATTGTTTGTGCATGATTAGTTATGATGAAGTTCATTCTTTTATGGTACTAGAGGGGGAATATTAAAATACTCGCACGTAAATAAAAAGAATATTGATATTGATGTGTTTTCATTGGTACAAGTTTTAGAAGGTGCTCCTGTGACAATTGTATACAAATTAAAAATATATTAATATGTAAATGATACAATGACACAATTAATGTTTATAATCACCTTAAATGACCATAATAAATAATACAAATCATCATATGCTTTATATTGACTTACATAATTGACATGCATATTAATTTTTTTTTTCATTGTGTTACTAGAGTTTAAGAGCATGAGTACTTACTGGCTAAGACTAGCTCACTGTTGTTTTAAACTAATATTTCAGATTTAATTATTTGATTATGAGATGAAAAATATAAAAGAAAATATTTATAAAAGATGTAGACAATCATAAATGAGTTAAATTTGATTGTATTAATTTAATTTATTTTTTGTAGTGACACTTTATTTATTAAATGTTAGTTTTAGAATATGAATGCTGAAAAATTTAATTTTCACCATTCGACCGTCCGTACCTGTGTTAATTCCAAGTCCTGGGCTGAGTTGAGCTCCGGTTGTATCCAAGGGTTTTGAGCCATGTTCTGGTTGTATTTTGTTTCTGAGGTGGTGTGTATCCACTTCTACGCTTTCCTACTTCCTTCTACATAGTTCTCCCATTGCTCTCGTTGCTGCTACCAAGAAAACAACCAAGTTGTTTTACTCAGCCTCGTTGCCTTCCCGCCATTGTACCCCTTCTAGCGTGCCACCGCCTCTCAGGATCACCCTTCCATCGCCGCCTTCGCCACTCGCCGACTTCCCTTTGCTGTCATCACCTTCCACCACCTTTCAACTTGCCATCTGACCACCTCCGCCCCAGAGGTCCAAACCCCTACCCAACAACATCTTCACCCTAGTTCTAGTGTTGCGTGTTGTTTTGTTGTAATATTTAGATTTCCGCATTGTTTTGTTATAATTTTCAATTTGAATTCATTAATAATATTTGCTTTCCGTTCAATATTTGTTAAATCTTTTTATCAGCTACACATGAAACCTTGGCTTACATGTTACTTGATTTCAAGCTCTTATTCGCTTTATAAAGACTAATGACTTGTTTGGGACCTTGTTTAAGCTCTCATCTACTTTCACTTTGGGCTTTTACCTACTTATTAGTGAATTCAAACTTAAAAATTTAATTCAAAAGGCTTGATCATCCCTGAACCCTTATGGTTTGTTTGGGACCATTTTTGTTTTTGTTTTTAAGAAAATATTTGTTTGAAGCATTTCTTAATTGTTTTTATTTTTTATTTTTATAAACAAATCAAATTTTTTTTTTAAAAAATACTAAAAATAAGATGTTTTGAGTGTTTTTAAAAATAACTAAAACAAAAAAAAATTTATTTTAAAGTAAAACATAAGAAAAATATATATATAAGTAGAAAACAAAAACAAAAGTGATCCCAAACAGCGCTATGCATTAATCCTTAATAAATTCACTTCTATTGATTACCCAATTTACTTCACTTGTAACATCACAAATCAGAATTCTTTGATGACTCTATGCTTTCTTTGTGATACCAGAACTACTAGGTAATTCAACGGAAAACACAAAACAAACTTTTATTAATGTAGAGAGAGAGTTACAACATAACACAACAGAAAATAACAACACAGAACATACGCGACACAAGCAAACACCTCTGTGGTGTATTTCAAGGGCTGTGAAGGTTGGCGAGATGGATCTAGCGGCTTGGGACAGTAGAGTTGAATGCAGGAGAGGGGTTGGTAGGGGTTGGAAGGTGAATTGGAGGGGGCGTCTGGAAGGTCTGTTGGGCGGCTGGGAGGTAGGTTGCAGGTGGAGTGGCAAGCTGGGAAGGTGGGACAACAACTAGGGAGACTCGCTGACACTTTAGGAGGTGGAAAGCGAGCGGGGAAGTGCAGACAACAATGGGAAAGGCCGTAGAAGTGCGGCTAGTGAGGGAAAACAGTGGCCAGAGGAGTTGGTAGCAAACCGACAGCTAGGATGAGTGGCGGAGAAGTGTTAGAAAAGGTAAAATGGGAAGATATATCACCACCTTGAAGTTGTATCAGCTGGAGCACTACCACCTCCTCAGATACAACCCTATAAAAGAAAACAGGCGTCCGTGCAGAAAATCTGAAAGCATTCTGATACGATTCGACTACAAAATTGGCACATTTTTTCAAAAAAATTAGAGAAAACACATTATTTCTTCAATAAATCAAACAACTTGACAAGAAAATAAAGATAAACTCCTCTCTCTCAATTCCTTCAATTCAAAAGGTAGGAAATCTCTCCCAAAACCTAAACTTAAAGACTCACGACTCAATCTCATACCTAAACTTAACCCTAAACATAATAAATCTATTTATACCCAATAATAATAACAATAATAGAAAACTAAATTGCTATTAGGAATACAAAAGGTAAACTTGCCTTTATAGTAGGCATAGCGTAAGATAAACATAGCAAAAGCTGTCTCCCACGCACAGAGGACAACAATTTATAGACTCCTACTGGACAAATGAAATTTCTACACAAAAGGAAGGGTTGGGAAGGCAAAAAGAAATTTTTTTAGCGCATCAAAATTTAAATTCAAGTCTCTAACTTTGGCTGTTACAAAGAAATTCCAAATTAACATTTTATTATATAACGCAGTTGCTTTTTTTTTTATTTCATTGTCTTAACGATTCTTAATAATGCAGATTTTGATTGATCAGCCCATCGGTTTGATGCAATATCCAGGAGTGGCCAAAGGGCTTTACGTTGCATCCTCATCAGGTTTTTTTTCCCTCGCCAGTCACTTTCTTTCTTCCTGTCATTGTTCATCTCTCATTTCTAAAGAAGTTAAGATGCAAATTAATAAAGGGAAGTTTACATACGTAGCACATAAGTCTTATGTATTTACATGTCTCACTCCTGAATTTTCATATTTACATGCATAGCACTTTGGTGTTTTAAATATATGCATGAAAATATGCATGAAATATGCATGAAAATGTGTATTTCACTTTTAAAAAATAATAATAGTGTTATTTTTGATGTGATATCGGAAATTTGAGCGCTGTGTGTAAATATAAAAGTTTAGGTGTGATATATGTAAATAGATAAGAATTGTGTGCTAAGTACGCAAATGCTCCATTAATAAAATGACCATAAAGCTCGTGTCTTCTTAGAAAATTCACCACTCTTACTGTCTCTATAAGAAAAATATTATTTTAATACATATTTTATCATTATTTGATTTCTTGTCCCTTTGAACGTTTGTTTTTGCTTGTTTTTTGATACTTGTGGAAGAGCGATCTTTATTTTTTCCATGATTTATGTGCCTTTTTTAGGGAAACCAGCTTTGAGCAATGTCCAAGTACTTGAGAAAGATGCGCTGCAAAATCAAACATTGGTGCATGTATGCTTCCTAATCGTTTCTTTTGTTATCGTTGATCTCATTGCTAGCCATAATCTTCTGCTTATTCTTATAATAAAATGCATCTAGTTAAGATATATTTTTTTAAATTATTATGTTAAGATAAGTTTAGTTGATTATGAATTTCCTTTCTTAATTTTTGTATGAATGTATTTTTGTGTGACATTTTACCTTCTTAAATAATGTGATTTTTTGGGGGGGCATTTACATACATTCCACACAGCTATGTATTTACATTTCTAACACCTAAACATCCATCATATTTACAAGCAAACAATAACAACAACAAGCCTTTATCCTACTATGCGGGGTCCGCTAAATGTCCTTTTTCACCATTGTGTCCTATTGAGTGTCATGTTTTATTTAATTCTATTAAATTAAGATCATTTTTTATGCAACACGCTTAAATGTTTTTAAGTCCTTTTCTACCTTTCTTAACATAAGTCGAATTTAAAACATCTACCCTCCTGACTGGTTCATTAGATGGTCAACGTTTAATGTGACCAAACATTCATTATTTTTACAAGGATACCACTAAAGTATTTAATTTCACTTAAAAAAATACCACTATTGCCATCTTTTTATAAGTGAAATACACATTTTCATGCATAATTTATGACACTAAAGTGTTACAATTGTAAGTATCAAACTTTGAGTGTTAGATATGTAAACACATGAGAATTGTTAACTAACTTTTTAACTATGTTAGGAAGGTACAAACCAAATCTCGTATTCTTGAATAACTATGTAACAAAATATGTACAAAAAAATCCCATAAACAGAAGACCCTACCAGTTCAAGTCGTTTGGAAGTAATCAATTTACAAGAACACCTCTTACTCGTTTCTCTCTTCTCCTATGATCTTAAGAAGACACCAACAACTCTATCTTCTCGCAGCCGCACCTTTATCTCAAGAAGACAACTGCTCCTCCATCTAAACTCTGGACCTTTTCTCGAGCCTTCCAAGCCATTTGGATTTCTCCTTATCTGGTTCAACCTAGTTGAAACTAAACTAGTTCTAATGGTATCAGGCATCCTTGAAGTTTTTCTCATCATCTTTACTATTCTATCACAGTTTTTGATTTTTTTTGTTCAGCGCCTCCCACCAAAAATCTTGGAATTCTTGTTTTGCTGATATTCTTTTTCCTTTCAAGAACCTGTTCAAAACAATCTTTCATCATTTTTTTTAATATAAAAGTATGGATACTCAATCTCAAACAACAACATTAACTCATCTCAAACTTTTTCGGTTCCAACAATCTCTCTTGTTGAAAGTTCCTGCCGAATAGTATCAATTCCTTAGCTTCACATTCCCTTATAGTAGTATACATTTACGTGTGCGTGTGTCAATCTGTTTATTGTTATCTTTGATGAGCCATTTTATAATGCTCAGTCACTCTGCTTATTTCAGCTTGTGATTTTGCTCCTATAATCGCTGATTTCTAAATCACGTAGTATTTAGCTGTATTAAGTGACGGGCTACTCTGTCATTTGCACTTCTTCTTGTTATTTTTTAACTTTCTTTTTCTTTTTAACTGGTGCATGGTTTTTTTGATCAATGGTAAATTCTATATTCTATTTTGATGCCATACTACATTCTAATTTTTCTGACAAATAATTGGCTGTATAACTTTCATTTATTATTTTCCAACTCTCTATTTTAGCCTGATTTTTAATAGGTCGAGATTCATTCTGGGCGACCACATCAAATTCGTATTCATCTTGCTTTCATAGGACATCCACTTGTAGGCAAGTTTCTAGTCTTGATTTTAAAGTGAATTAATCAATTCAATACAGGTATTGTTCATTTTGACACTTACACTGATGTTTTTGTGTTTTTCTTAAGTTCTTTTTTGCTAGATTTGTTTGATCCCTTTTTAACTCAACTTTCTTCCTCTTTTCAAGCTTTTACTCAAAAAAGTAATCTATTTTGGAAAAATAATAGTGGTGGTCAAAGCATTAATTGAAAATTACATTTTATGTATTTAATTTGTAGATTCAATTAATTTTGAAGAATTAGAAAGGGAAATTGTTGATATTAAAGGTGATATAGGTAAAATCTGCACTCGATTATTTTATGAAATGTAATTGACGCAAGCGCTAAAAAGAGCCTTGGCATGGGCGCTGAAAGCACCCTTGAAGTGGGGTGCTTAAGACACACCAACAACTGAATTGGCTAGCCAGAAAAAACCGCAAACCTGACCCGGGAAGGAGTGGGAAGGCAGGATCACGAACCGAATTACGGTCTCTAGAGTAGGCGGGACTATCACCCTTCCTTTGGTGCTATTCTCCATATAGGAAGATTTAATGGCTATTTTTCTAGATTCTTCTTGCCTTCTTACCCCTTTCTTTTATGTGGGAGTTTCTTTTTTTATTTATTTCTTATCTTTCTCCAATAGGAGTCTATTAATTGTTGTTTTCTGTTTGTAAGGGGCAGCTTTTCGCTATGTTCGCTTTCAAATTTTCTGTTTGGAGTCCTCTTCCCTCTTGCTAGGACTATATCTTACGATAGGTAGTTCTCCGGCTGTATCCTGCTTCGAGGTGGTGTTGTATTCTTCCAATCTCTTCCTATCTTCTCCCTGACCCTTTCACCTACCTCTTCCCAAGTCGCCGACCATGCCCATCTCCCTCCACAGCTCTGCAACACCTACTACCACCACAACTTGTTGTCCAACCACCTAGTCCCCTCATTCCTGCACCCGTACTCCTACCTTTCCCCCCAAAACCAGGTAGGTTGCCCAACTCTCCAAGTCATTTATCGACATCCTGCCATCCCTTACCTGCAAAAACCCTTGACGTCCAGCTCGCTTACAATCCACCAAACCTCATTCCAACCTACCAAATAGCCACTTGTTCTTCCCCATCTTTTCCTACCACCTCGTTGACACCACCACCACCTTCGGATCCCTTCCTACAACCCTAACTAGGGATTATTCTAGTATTGTATTTCCTTTTTTGTGAGTCATGTTGTATCCCTAATCTGTTGACCTCATTTTTCGTGAGGTCTAGTATTTCTCGCGGGAGTTAGGATCTAGCCTTAGGGGTCTTTCTGCGACTATCTTAGAACCTTAGAAGTGGGACCCGCCTCATTTTAGTTCGACCTACTTCCGTCCTCTTTTGGAGCTTCACGTGTGTGATATCGACTTCTAGCACTTAGAAGGATGAAACCGACATGAGGAAGCCCAAAATGGATTCCTATAAATAAACCCTTTCTGAGCCTTAGGGTGACTTTCTGCACAATTCGTACTCCCGCGAGCACAAGCTTCGCAATTCGTGGAGTCGACGTATCCGATAGCCGCAATTCGCATTGCCTGCATTGTTACTTGTCGAATGCTCAATTAAACCTTTTGGGACGATCGATTGCGGGTCGAGATTTTGTGAAATTTGAATTTCGACGCGTTTTTGACCCGATTGTCGACGACGTCGTCCGAGCGACCCCGGATGACGAAACAGACTGCGCCAACGCTTCCGGAACGTCGATTTTGCCCGGGGAGGATACCCATTTTGTCGCGTTGTCGCGCGAGAGTAAATTGTGTTTTAATTAATTAATATATATATATATATATATGTTAATTAACCCCTTTCCTCTTTAATCCCTAACACTCCCCTGCGCTCGAGCTCCGTCTCCCGCAACTCCCCCGTTCGCGTGTCTGGCCCTTTCCCTTTCTCGGTCTCGAGCCGTGCGAGCTCTTCTTCCTCCACGCGAGGGAAGAGTTGACCTCGTCCGTCCTTCCCTGACTTTCTTCGAAATGACATTTTTCTTCTCCCCTTCCCGATGCTTCCCTCGCTGCCACTGGCTTCGTCGCTCGGTCCCAGAGACTTTGGGGG